ATTGATAGAGATTTAGCTTGTTCCTAGTTTTTTGCTATTACTTCAGTGAATATCCTTGCTTCAGTATCTTTGTGTACTTGCACAGGAATATCTATAGAGTAAGCTTTTAGAAGTGGAATTGGTAAATAAAAGCGTTTTCAAGTCCTCTGCAGTACTCCTATTGTTAGGCATGGCCAGGAGGTGGTATAGATATTTTCTGTGATACCCACTGTAGTTTTGTAACCGTTTCTTTGCCTTCTTCCTTCAAAATTTCCACCGTTTTAGAAGCTCATAATGTAGTCGCACTGTTTTCTCCTGACCTCCTTTCCTGGTCACTTTTATTCCCTGAAGACTTTAGCTCTGGCTTACTTGTCCTCCTTTTTCTCCTTCTCTTTTCAAAATTTTCAGTGACTTTAACATCACTGTGGATTATTCATCTAACATCCTGGTCTCTTTACCAATCCTCATCTTTTCTTCTACTCACTACAACCGCCCACATCCACGATTACAACCTAAACTTTTTCATTACGAGTATCTGTACCCCCTACGAAATCTTGAATTCAAAATATCTTTCTCCACTAACTACCTCTCAACTTTGAATTTACCTACACTAATACTCTTCTGTAATCATCCTTTGGCCTCATCAAATCTCCAATTCATTCACCAATACCTTTCTCATGATCTAATACTCTCCTCTGGTTTCCATTTCCCCAAATCCTAGTTGGACCCAACTATCTGCCTTTTCCACATTTAATCTGGAGCAGCTCAAAGTTTCCAGAGGAAAACCACACAACTAGGCTCACTGGCTATATTTTAAATTAATGACCACAAAACTCTCTAGGCATTCAACCTTGCCTAGAACTCCTACTTACATTTCCCTAATAAACCTGATTCCTAGCCTATGAGATGAAAGTTTCACAATGTTTTTTTCTTTATACCCCTTACGTTAGCTAAGTTGGCACCATATTTTACTGAGAAAAATCAGACATGATGACCCCATGTTGTCACCATCAACACTGCAAACCTATTGTATCTACACATACTGCTTTCTTTCCTGTTAAAATGAAAGAACCCCTGCGCCTATCACGGGCAATCCCTCTATTCTCTGGATTCCTTAAGGACTTCACGTCCTCAGCTCTTTCTCTTTTGCATTACCTATAACCTCTTCTTTACTGGATAAGTCTCACTGGATTATACATATTCTCTAGAATCTCTTTCTCTTGAGCCCACAATCTCTTCTAACCACTCAATTTCTCTTCCTCCTTTATGCAAAATTTCTTAAAAAGTGTTATATACATTTGCTGTCTTTATTGTATCTTATATCCTGTTAACCCCTCTAATTTGGCTTCCAACCTCACTGAAACCAGGGAAGAATATCATCAAAGACCTTCGTGTTGCCAAATCAGATGCATCCTGTACTTTCTTCACCTTCTTTACCTCTCAGAGTTTGGACACAGTTTATTACTTGTTCGTGATGACACCATGCTTTGCTAGTTTTTCTCCTACCTTTCTGCTTCCTCCTCAGTCTCCACTGCTGACTCCTTATTCTCTACTCAATGCTTAGTCCTGGGCTCTCTTCTTTTCTCTTTTCTATGCTTTCTTTTTAAGTTATCCTATGTAGTTCCATAGTTTTAATATTACTATTATTTTTGCCAACTCTGAATATGTGACATTTCTACTTGTTAACTAATAGGCATCTCCAACTGAACAACAAAACTCTACTTCTCCTCAAAGCCTGAGAGTTATTCTTGACTTCCCTCTTACCCTTGTTCCGTAAATCCGTGCCATTAAAGAAGTCTATTGATTCTGGCTTCTCTCTCAGCCTCCTACCCAAACCACTGGCATTTCTCACCTGGACTACTGCAGTCATCTCCTCAGTAGGCTCTCTGCTTTTATTTTTGCCTTCAATAATCATTCTCACCAAAATGATCTTTTAAAACACAATTAAGTTCATGTTACTTATATGCTTAACTCTCCAATGGCTTCCTATGATATTAAAAAAAATCTCTTTGCTAGGGTCTTTGAGGCCTGATGTGTTCCAACCCTGCCTATCTCAACCTCGTATTTCCTCCTTATTCACTATGCTCCAGCCAAGCAGGGCTTCCTTCTGTTCCATGAACTTGCTAAATTCTCCCTTTCTTTAAGGCCTTTGCTCTGGTATTTCCCTCTGCTTTGGATGTTTTTTTCTCCTAATCATCATGTGATTGATCCTTTATTTATTTATTTAATTTTATTATTATTTTTTTGAGACAGAGTTTCGCTCTTGTTACCCAGGCTGGAGTGCAATGGCGCGATCTCGGCTCACTGCAACCTCCGCCTCCTGGGTTCAGGCAATTCTCCTGCCTCAACCTCCTGAGTAGCTGGGATTACAGGCACGCACCACCATGCCCAGCTCATGTTTTGTATTTTTAGTAGAGACAGAGTTTCACCATGTTGACCAGGATGGTCTCAGTCTCTTGACCTTGTGATCTACCCGCCTCGGCCTCCCAAAGTGCTGGGATTACAGGCTTAAGCCACCGTGCCCGGCTATTTATTTATTTTTTGAGATGAGAGTCTCACTGTCACCCAGGCTGGTGTGCAATGGCACAATCTTGGCTCACTGCAACTTAGGTTCTAACGATTCTTCTGCCTCAGCCTCCTGAGTAGCTGGGATTACAGGTGACTGCCACCACACCAGGCTAATTTTTGTATTTTTAGTAGAGATGGAGTTTTACCATGTTGGCCAGGCTGGTCTCGAACTCCTGATCTCAAGTGATCTGCCCACCTTGGCCTCCCAAAGTGTTGGGATTACAGGTGTGAGCCACCGTGCCTGGTTTGGTGCCTGGCTTTCTTATGACTCAAAGCTCATCATAAATATCACCTCTCAGAGAGGTTCTCTCTGCATCTAAAATAGTTCTCCCCACTGCTGCAATTACTTTGAAGCTCATTACCCTATTTATCTGTGGTATAAAATATATCTGTTGTATAAAAGGATGAAGCAATTGAATTATTAATTATATGCACACAGGTTACAGTGACAAATAGTAACAGATGTTGACAACTGATAAATGAGCATTTTGTTCAAAGAATATAATTTTGGGCTTTGTGTGGGAATGAATTATGCAAATCAGAAAGGTTTTCTGCTGTGTACTGGTCATACACAGTATATTCTTCTGGTGGTCTATGGTTCCCTTTGGCAATAAATAGCTAATTTCTCGTTCAGTAATTCTTTTTTTTTTTTCTTTTTGAGATAGAGTTTCGCTCTTTTTGCTCAGGCTGGAGTGCAACGGCTTGATCTCAGCTCAGCGCAACCTCTGCCTCCTGGGTTCAAGCGATTCTCTTGCCTCGGCCTCCTGAGTAGCTGGGATTATAGGCATGTACCACCATGCCTGGCTAATTTTTGTATTTTTAGTAGAGATAGGGTTGATCCGTGTTGGTTAGGCTGGTCTTGAATTCCTGACCTCAGGTGATCCGCCTGCCTCAGCCTCCCAAAGTGCTGGGATTACAGGTATGAGCTACCGTACCCAGCTTCTTGTTCAGTAATTCTTACATGAAATTCATAAAATTAATGTTTTTACTTATCATATTAATTAGAAGGCTTGAGAATACAGTTTTTTGTTAAAACCCTCTCAGATAAGTACATAACTTTGGGCTGGTTTTCATTCTTCCCACTCAGCTGACATTTCTAAGTCTTATGCCAAGTTCCTTAAACATTTTATCTGAATGAGTGTACTCTCTGAACTTAACACCAAATGTTCTACCTCTCAACTTTGGGCTTTTAAAGGATGATATTTTTTCTGTTCTGTACCAAATTACAGACTTTTTTTTTTAAGGACAAAGTGAAAAAATATACTTTACCATGTAAAAGAGTCATCTATGTATCTTAAAACATTTTCCCATTCAGAATCTCATTATATTTATAAAACACTATACTTTAGCCGGGCGCGGTGGCTCAAGCCTGTAATCCCAGCACTTTGGGAGGCCGAGGCGGGTGGATCACGAGGTCGAGAGATCGAGACCATCCTGGTCAACATGGTGAAACCCCGTCTCTACTAAAAATATAAAAAATTAGCTGGGCATGGTGGCTCGTGCCTGTAATCCCAGCTACTCAGGAGGCTGAGGCAGGAGAATTGCCTGAACCCAGGCGGCGGAGGTTGCAGTGAGCCGAGATCATGCCATTGCACTCCAGCCTGGGTAACAAGAGCGAAACTCCGTCACAAAAAAAAAAAAAAAAAAAAAAAAAAACTATACTTCCAAGTCTCGTAGATGTTTATTAACTGAAATAATAGAATTACATCAACAGTAAAATTTTCACATTAATCTATCAAATAGGATTCAGGTTCATATGTTAGCCCCTTTAGATAACATGTGTCCAACTAAAAAAATATAAAAATATAAAATTTTTAACTAGGTAGAATTTATGTATACAGTATTTAAAATTTCAGGTTCATCTAAGTAAGTTGTTCTGGACAAGTTTTGTTTTTATTAAAAATTAACTAACCACCGGATTAAGATAACACTTATTGCTTCCTTTGGTTAATAATCAAAAAGAAAGCCTTTTCAAAATCCTTTTTTCCTGTGTAACAAATGGCCTTTATTAATTAGGTCTCTCAGTTTGTGTGCTGACAACATTTGGCAAAGTCCAGTCCTCACCAAAAATAGTAACAACCTGCTCTGGATGGCAATCAAGCAGCAAGCCTATTTTTGGGTTTAATGTTTGTAACACCAAATGCCAGATGCCATCAAACACAACCTTAAATGGCGTAAGTAAACTGGTCTGATACTGAAACACAGAAGATGAGGATCTGAGGCTCTCCAGAACACCTGTTTCTTTAGTACAAAAGAAATAAATGTTTCAGACTTAGCAGGGGAATCCATATCTATCGCTGATATATGTAAAACCAAAAGAATTTTAAAGCTGATAAACAGCAGGGGAAGGAGGAGCAGAATGCTATTATCTCAGCTTTAGTCCTTAACATGACTCTAAATTTTCATTTGCTTAGTGTTTCTGACTTTTATTATTAATATCTTTGTTAGCTTACCTGTCTCTGAGCGTGCTGGGGCCCAGATAAGGATATAGGTTTTCCTTAAGCTTTCCTTTGATGAGATGATCCAGGGTTTCATGTAGGAAAGGTTGATGCTGTGTATATACATTTTCTACTCCCTAAAACAGAGGGAAAGGTTCTTATGTCATTTTTATTAAACTAGGAATATAAGAATCAATAACACTTATTATCAGAAAAGGACATATACTTAATAGAGATTTCATGGGACAGATTTAAATAGGAACTGTGAAAAACTTAAAAATTATTTCAGGCCGGGCGTGGTGTCTCAAGCCTGTAATCCCAGCACTTTGGGAGGCTGAGGCGGGTGGATCACAAGGTCAAGAGATCGAGACCATCCTGGTCAACATGGTGAAACCCCGTCTCTACTAAAAATACAAAAAATTAGCTGGGCATGGTGGCATGTGCCTGTAATCCCAGCTACTCAGGAGGCTGAGGCAGGAGAATTGCCTGAACCCAGGAGGCGGAGGTTGCGGTGAGCCGAGATCGCGCCGTTGCACTCCAGCCTGGGTAAGAAGAGCGAAACTCCGTCTCAAAAAAAAAAAAAAAAAAATTATTTTAATCAGCCAGAAATGTTCTAATCTTATAAAAAATACTCTGTAATTTAGGGCTAGTTATTGTAAAGGAATTTTTTTAAAAAAGAATTGCTTAAATCCTTTATTGTGTCGTCATTGCCTCTCACTCTTTTGTGAAAATGTTGAACGATAAGGTAGAGCAAATAAAAGGATCATGTATATTAAAAAAAAAAAAAAAAAAAAGACTGGAAACACCCAGGAAAACAGAAAAACTTCAGGAAACATAAGAAAGGCTAGCAGATTAGAAGTAATTTTTGAGTATTTCAAGAAAACTAGTTTTTTTTAACAGATCAAATGTTTGCTTCATTTTTAATTTCCTTCAAAAAGAAACTACCTAACAAATCTTTAATTATAAACAAATGGAGTAATGTATTGTGATTAACAGAACTGTTTGTCTTTTTCTTCTTGAGTATTTCCTGGAAATACTTCAGTTATTTCCTGTTCAGCTATTTGGTCCAATGCTGATACTGCTCTAATACAGAAAGCACTAAGAGAAAAAGTTTTCAAGAGGATGTCAGTTTTAATTTCATTTAAGTGACACAGTACTAAATCAGCAGCAATCCTCAAGGTACTTTGAAAATCATATTCTTTCACTCTCAGCCTCCGGGGCTTCAACTGTTCTCACATAGGAGAGCACAGAGGTGTCTATACCTTCAGTCCTTTGAGGAACTGTTTGGTGATAGCCACAGCATCTTTGGGGCTGAAGAGGTCACTTCCTCTGACTCTTTTACCACCATATTCAACAACTGCAGACACGAGCTATTAAAAAAGAGAAGCAAATTTTGATTGCTTAGAGATCAGGAAGCTCACTTCATAAGAAAATAATTTTATTTTATTAAGGAAACAAAAGTGAAAAGACAGAATGAGACATTTCTGTAAATAAAAATAGTACGATTTATCATTTGTTAGAGCTAAGAATATAATAACAGAGTTCATTCCTGTTTGGTGGGCTAATACAGAAACTGATTACCTTTCGATACTTCTCAGAAACACCTTTATTCCTGAGGTCCATCATTAGTCCTGGCAGGCTATTGCTGCTGTGTCGCTCATAATGTAAAGCGTAAAGCATCACCAGGCGGGCAGCATCAAACTCTGTCACTTTCGGGTTCTGAAGAAGCCTTTTTACATTCTGAAGAAAGACAGAACTTATATTTATCTCCCTCTCACTTGAGTGATCTGTTGTACGATGCCTTAGATCTAATAATTCCTGAATGGTAGTGATACACCTGAGTTGATGACTGAGATTACCACTATGACAATTATAAGTCATATATTTAGCAATAGTCTCAACTATAGAAAGTTAAATGCCTTTTGTCCAAGGTAAGAACTAAATAAGGAAATATATTTCCATTGTAATTGCTTTAGGACAAAAATGAATTTAATAATGGATAGTTCCACTTTTCTTTTTTTTTTTTTTTTGAGACGGAGTTTCACTCTTGTTACCCAGGCTGGAGTGCAATGGCGCGATCTCGGCTCACCGCAACCTCCGCCTCCTGGGTTCAGGCAATTCTCCTGCCTCAGCCTCCCGAGTAGCTGGGATTACAGGAATGCGCCACCATGCCCAGCTAATTTTTTGTATTTTTAGTAGAGACGGGGTTTCACCATGTTGACCAGGATGGTCTCGATCTGTTGACCTCGTGATCCACCCGCCTCGGCCTCCCAAAGTGCTGGGATTACAGGCGTGAGCCACCGCGCCCAGCTGATAGTTCCACTTTTCTTTTCCAATAGCTGAAGTTGTAATTTCCTTGCTGAAAGAAGAAACACTTACTATTTCCACCACTTCAATCAATATAGCACAACAAAACCAACTAGTTAATTTGCAAACACTACTGCTTTCTCTTAGTATTAATGATTGACCAGTGAAATGGAGACAAGCTGGTAGAATTTTACGCAGACTGGGCTTAATCTCTAAGAAGCATCAGAATATGTCTCAACATGGTCGACAGAGATGAGTATGTAACAACATGTAATCTCTAAATTGAGTACTTAATGATTTTAAGAGGTGGGTACCAACAGAAAAGGGAGCGAGGAGAAACCAGGTCTACATTTTTTAATCCTCATATTCAGTACCTTCCCTATAGTACAGATTTATATTTATTATGCAGCAGAACAAATAATTTAATTCAAGCCAACAAATACTTTTTGAGTCCCCATAAGGCAGTATGTCAGGTACTGTTGTGGGAACACAGATAAATTAAAGACAATTCCCGTCTCCAGTGAGTTCACGGTCAATGGGGTGAAGGATGATCAAAGTAATATAATTTATTCTGCTATAAACATGTTTCTTGAATGTACTTTAGTTCAGTGACATTGCTAAATATGGAAATTGTATCAGTTTAACACAGAAGGCGTATTGGTTCATAGGTAATTTTTCCAGAATGGATAGGCTTTCTAATGGTTAAAGGGGAAGCCTTACAATACCTTTAGAAAAAAAGATGAAAATCCTACAGAAGTGTGTTCTCCAGAAGTATCTGGTTTTATAGCTTCAAGAAATGCTGCACTTTTGACTGTGTTAAGCTCTCTGGGGGAAGGGCAAATGCAAATAAAAAGGATGCAAATATATTGCACTGTGTACAAAAGCGAAACAAAACAAAATAACCACCAAACACTGATTGATGAAGAAAGCTATCTCCATACGGTATTTTTAATTTTGAAAAAGTAGTCTTTATGAGAAGTGAATACTTTCAAGACCTTATAACTTGAAGAAAACATGAGCCCCAGGAAAAAGGCTGCAGAGGATGGACTGGCTCTACTTCTAGGTACAAATGCTGGTCTCTACCATGCTAGTATTTTTATTATAACTGTTACTATTTTTATTAGGGCTTTGATAACAAAATTATGTGAATTTTTTATTTCTTTTTATAGTTACACAGATTTTAAGTGGTCTGCTTATAACCCTATATTCTCATAACCCTTTTTTTAGTGCATGTTTTTATAGAATGTGAGGTTTTTCAGGAACAAATATGTGGTGTTGTAACAGAGACATATGTATGAAAAAAACAAAAGAAAGCAAAAAGCAAAAGCTGGAAATTAGTGTAACAGAGGAAGGGGAGAGAAAGGGGAAGACAAAGTATATCTGGTTGTTGAGAAATCAGGAAAGACTTCATAAAGGACTTGACATTTGCCAAAGGTCCTGAAGAATCACTAAATATTGGAACCAGTGTGAGAGACTGAAAGCAGTGGCATATCAAGATAAATATGGAAATCAGATGAAGAAATCAGGCCGAAACGCTGGCAGAGCCTTGGAGGGCACTGAATTCTGAGGACGTAACTACGTAACTATCAACCATATGATTACAACTTACAAGATGCTTTCACACACATCATCTCTTTTCACAACAACCATGTCCAATGTCTAAGAGCTCTTCTGTTCACGCTGACTAGGGACTATGATGATAATGGGAAATCTCCCAGGTAGCTTTCAAGTTCAGAGTTCTCTGAGAGGGATTTCTATTGCTGATTTTTTGGATTAATATTTCACTATCATCATCCTTAAGGGATCAAAAAGGGAGAAACTTCTCTTCTGTAGATTTCGATCCCAAAATCGAACGATTTTTCTTTTTTTTTTTTTTTTTCCTTTCATGGTATCTTTCTCCTAGAGCAGCCATGGAATACAGCCCATTTAGACTATCTGTTCAAATGTACCACTATTTTCTACTATAATATGAAGAAATTTCAGGTACAATTATTTATGTATCTCAATCAACAGCATAAGTTTAAAACATTAAGAAATCCCATTTCGGGCCAGGCGCGGTGGCTCACACCTGTAATCCCAACACTTTGGGAGGCGGAGGGGGGCGTGTATCACTTGAAGTCAGGAGTTCGAGACCAGCCTGGCCAACATGTTGAAACTCAGTTTCTACTAAAAATACAAAAAATTAGCAGGGTGTGGTAGCAGGTGCCTGTAGTCTCAGCTACTCAGGAGGCTGAGGCAGGAGAACTTCAAGAGGTGGAGGTTACAGTGAGCTGAGATCGTGCCATTGCACTATAGCCTGGGCAACAGAGTGAGACTCTGTCTCAGAAAAACAAATAAATAGGCCGGGCGCGGTGGCTCATGCCTGTAATCCCAGCACTTTGGGAGGCTGAGGCGGGTGGATCACGAGGTCAAGAGATCGAGACCATCCTGGTCAACATGGTGAAACCCCGTCTCTACTAAAAATACAAAAAATTAGCTGGGCATGGTGGCACATGCCTGTAATCCCAGCTACTCAGGAGGCTGAGGCAGGAGAATTGCCTGAGCCCAGGAGGCGGAGGTTGCGGTGAGCCGAGATCGCGCCATTGCACTCCAGCCTGGGTAACAAGAGCAAAACTCCGTCTCAAAAAAAAAAAAAAAAAAAAAAAAAAAAAAAAAAAGGCATAATGTCTCATTTCCTGCCCTTGCAGTCATTCTTTTACCACCTTTTCTGACTAATCTATCTCTGTACTGTTAAGCAAATCTGAGAAATCCAAGTAACTATAAACTCACAAAACTGGTATGACAGTCAAAGACTATTGCCGTAATCAGTCTGCCCTTTTCTAGTTACCTTCACTTGGATCTTGACTCTTGGGTGTTTCTTACTAGAGATAATAAGTGTTGGTGATGATGTGGAGAAATGGGAACCCTTACACACAACTGGTGGGAATGTAAATTATGGGAATTTACAGCCATTATGGAAAACAGTATGAAGGTTCCTAAAAAAATTAAAATAAAACTACTATATGATTTAGCCATCCAACTACTTGGTATATATCCAGAGGAAACGAAATCAGTATGTTGAAGAGATATCTGCACTCCTATGTTTACTGCAGCGCTATTCAAAATAGCAAAGAGGTGAAGTCAATCTAAATGTCCATCAACAGATGAATGGATCAAGAAAATGCAGTATTTAGGTCAGGCATGGCAGCTGACGTCTGTAATCCTAGCACTTAGGGAGGCTGAGGCAGGCGGACAGCTTGAGCTCAGGAGCTGGGGACCAGCCAGGGCAACATGGTGAAACTCCATCTCTACAAAAATACAAAAATTAGCCAGCCATGGTGGTGTATGCCTGTAGTCCCAGATACTGGGGAGGCTGAGGTGGGAGGATAGCTTGAGTCTGGGAGGCAGAAGTTGCAGTGAGCCAAGATGGCACCACTGGACTTCAGCCTGGGCATTAGAACCAGACCCTGCCAAAAAAAAAAAAAAAAGAAAAAGAAAGAAAGAAAGGGAAAATAAAATAAAATGCAGTATATATAAAATGAAATATTTACTATTCAGCCATGAAATAGAAAAAAATCCTGTCATCTGTGGCAAAACAGATTAACCTGGAGGACTTACATTAAGTGAGATAAGCCAGCACAGAAGTACACATACTGCATGATCTTACTCACATGTGGAATCTCATAGAAGTAGAGAGCAGAACAGCAGTTACAAGAGGACAGGAGGTTAGAAATTGGTTAATGGGTACGAAGCTACAGTCAGATAGCGGAAACACGTTCCGGTGTTCTACTGCACAGTAGGATGAATAGAGTTAACAGTAATGTGTTATCTCTGTCAAAACAGCTAGAAGAGAGGTTTTTAAATGTTCTTATTGCAATGAAATGACGAATGTTTAAGGTGACGGATATGCTAATTATCCTGATTTGATCATTACACAATGTATACATGTATTGAAACAGTACACTGTATTCCATAAATCCGTTCAATCATTATGCATCAATCATAAAAAATTCACTTGTATTCCTTGAGACTTGGTACTGGTATTTAGATTGCCTGGCTTGACTCTTAGTTCTTCATTGAGGACTTGGCTCAGATCTGACCAACTTACTTTGAGAACTATTTTGCCTACTTTTGAGCCCTTAGGACCCAACTCATGGCTCAGGTCCATGTTCTAGCTAGATGTATCTATTCTCTCATGAAAAGGAACTTGTAGGTACAAGCTGAGTTCTTTCTTTTCTTTCAGCTATATCAGTCCTTGGAAAAGCAGGACCTTTTTGTCTGCTTTGATCCCATGTTATCCTTTGACTTCAGTTTGAAGGATTTCCCTCATGGCTACTTGACTTATGAACTTGGTTGATAGTGGCATACATAACATTGAGATTTCAGGGCACTAACCAGAGAAGAGGAGGAAAAAGAATCAGAGAGGCTTCTAATTACCAAGCCAGGTATATGCT